AGCAAAAAAAATATTCCCACAAAAAAAATACTGATTAAAGCTAATTTCAATCAACAACAAAACCCAAACAGCAAGAAACCCAAGCAGCAAGAAATTAGTCAGCAACAGAAAGGTTAGTAGCAGCTGAAATCACACCTCCCAGGATCCCAAACACAATCGACTATCATGGGGAACAGCGGTGGGTGTTATTTGGAAATCCAGGATGTGGTCTAAAGCTAATGTGTTGACTTGTATGACATACAGTTTAGGGTGACCTGCTAATCTCTGGTGTCACCACCAAGGGCAGGAGGTGATAAATGCTCAAGAAAGCAACCCTCATCCACAATGGACAAGACAGTTGGTGGCTCTCTCACATACAAATGTCTAACACATAGGGTCACAAAGTCCTCCAGTTTCAGTTTTGTTGTTAAACTCCATTTGGACCATCATTTACATTGTCTGGATCATCAAATGGGCCGTGCCACTGATAGCCCTGATAGCCCTACATGGCCTTGCAAGGCTGCTCGGCAGTCAGGAGAAGCAGATGAGTTAGTACCAGTCAGACTGAAAAAAGGTAATGCCAATTTGTGTGTTTGTACCTGTGCAAGGTGGAGTCCATGTTTGGGAGCTTGCACTGGTAGCATTAGGTAGAGCAATTGATTCAGGAGCAGCCGTGCCCATGAGAGTCTCTTTTCATAGCACACAGGGATGACAGATAATGGTATCAGGTTAGATTGACAGCTGCTGCAATTTCTTGACTCAGGCAAACCATATGACATGTTGCCAAACTGCAGTGTAGGATCCAAGGGACAAAGAGAGTATTCAGTGCTATTGGTTTGGCCCCACTCAAAGAATGCTGATTCGTGGGTTAGCTGATATAAAAGACCAAACAGAATGCCCAAGTGAGGCACATTCTGTCTTCAGTACCAAAAAGTCCAATAGTGAGCAGAGCTTCCTTTTTGATGGTCTGTCTCCTTGGGTGCATTATAAATCTGCCCAACAGGACAAAGAAATGACACTTAGCAAGCAGGCCTCCTAATATCCCTGGAGTCACCAGCCAGTTTCGCTGGTAGAAGGATAAGAACACCCTGTCTAGTCTCCAAAGCTAAGGCTTCTGATTTGCCCACCAACAGCACCTCAACTATATCATGAAAGTTGTAAAATCAGAGTATAGAGGCACTCATGTCAACTCCTGGCTTACTCACTAGGGACAGATGACAAGGAGTTTGTCCCACTAGCCTATCTCTACTTGTAGCCCTTTCCTGATGGTGATAATCCTCTCTGGCATTTTTAAGTTGGAGAAAAGATGTGCAGAAAGGAGATTTTTGGAGAATTGCCTCCCAACACCTGGAATGTTATTTTCTCTATTGTGGTAAAAGATATAGTTTACTATATTTTGGGTGCACAATTCAGTGGCATTAAGTCTATTCACGATGTTGTGCCACTATCGCAACGATTCATTTCCTGAACTACACTATTATTTTCAAAGCACTATTGATTTTGAGTGTCTGGTATTTTATTTGGATTCTTTATTGATGCTCACCCGTGGGTCTGGCCCAGAGCAAGCTGCTGTGTACAAGCAGCATTGTTCCCCTCTGTCCTCATAGTATGCTAGCTTCCTAGACTGAGTTGGGAATTCCTCTTTCCCCGTGTTCTGAAATCCCTTTTTTTTTTTTTTTTTTTGGTGGTGCTGAGGATTGAACCCAGGACTTGTGCTTGCGAGGTAAGCACTCTACCAACTGAACTACATCCCCAGCCCCATATTCTGGAAATCTTTTGCATTCTATGGAAATTATTAGCTCTTTTGAGAGTTTGTTGGAGCCGGACTCATTACATCATCTAGGCAGGTGTCGCTCTCATAGGAAAACATCGACCACCTTTACAGCTGCTTCTACGAATCAAAATTTCTTCCCCTTCTTAAGTTTGTTAATTATTATTTTTTTCTGGATAAGCTCTATTTTATCTAATTTTTAAATATCATCCTATACTTCCTATTTTCTTGTGTCTTTCTATTTTTATGTCTCCTGACTGATAAAAACTAGAGTATCAAATTTTTTTTCCAAAAATCAACTTTTATTTTTAACTTTGATGTTCAAATCTACTGTTGATTTTCTATCTCATTACTTTTTGCTTTCGTTCCTTCCTTATTCCTGCTTTCTCTTTTATTCATCTGTGTTCTTGATTATACTTAGCTTAGTTTTGACCTTTCTTGTTTTCCAATTTATGCATTAAAGCCTACAGATCTTCACTGAGAATCTCTTGGGCTGTAACCCCCACAGGCTTTTTGTCGTTATTTGTGTGTGTGTGTGTGTGTGTGTATGTGTGTACTAGGAGATTGAACCAGAGGAGTTTGTCACTGAGTTACATTCCCAGCCTTCTCTCTTTTCCTCCCTCCCTCGCTCCCTTCTTTCCTTTTTTCTTTTTAATTTTGAGACAGTGTCTTGCTAAGTTGCCCAGGATGGCTTTGAACTTGTCAGTTCTCCTGCCTCAGCCTCTGGAGTCACTGGGATTTAGGCATGTTCCATCAGGCCGGGGCCTACATATTTTCTTCCTCTAGTATTTGCCTACTATATTTTCCATTACTTTATTTTCAGATGCAATAATTACTTTGTAATTTTGAAGTAGGTTGTGGGGTTGGGGATTTGCTCAGGGGTAGAGTGCTTGCTTAACACGAACAAGATCCTGCATTAGTTTCTGGTACATCAACAACAACATGTGTGATATATAACAGTTTCCCTCATTTTACAGATTTGAAGAAATGTCCCAAGATATCCTTAGTTAAGTGATATAAGGTAAGTGATGGTCCTGTCCTTAGGCACATAAAGTTAGTACCACAGACAGGAAAAGAAGAGGTGCTCTGCTTCTCATCCATCTCAGGAAATACTGCTTGTCTCCTGAGCCATTTTCATAAGCCCCCTCACTCATCTTGGACTCTGAATATTCCCAACAACACTGGCAGAGTCAGCAAGGAATTAAAAGCTTTATGCCAGATTAATGGAAACTTTCAAAATGGCGATATGTCAGTTTCTCATTTTGGAGATAAAACTGTTGGGAGTAGGCATGTTATGAAGAAGTTGCAAGGCACAGTTAAGATACATCACACACAATATTCCCATTACTTCAGCTTTCTCCTCTTATTTGTCGATATGATTTTATTCGTACAATTATTTTTTTGTCTCACTCAGTTCTCTGGCCTCATCTCTCATCCAAAGAATGTACTCCTTTCCAAAGTTCTAAAATTCAAAGTGGATACACACAGGAAAGGGATAATCCCCAGACATGGTGGATTATAGACTCAAAAGACTTTGAAGTTCTTAGTCTAATTCAGCACTTAGTAACTCTGCCACTATGGGTATTTTGGCCATGACAGATAATTCTTGGTTGTGTCCTGAGTATTGCAGTGTATTTCACAGTATCTCTGGCTTCTGCTCTCTACACGCCCAGTAGTAGCCCCTGCCATGAATTAGTAGAGTAGTTCTTATGTGGTTGGCAAGACTACAATAATCAAGAAAAATACCTCAGTTACATGTTCTGCACAGATTTCATTTTTTGGCTGTTCTGCAAAACAAAAAGACAGTAGACCTATACTTGACTTATGTTAATCTGAATTTGTAGAGGATAGTTCTCATGTAGTTGGCAAGACTACAAGAACCCAATTACATGTTCTGCACAGATTGGAGTTTTGGCTCCTGGGAACTTTTAGTGCTATTAAATCAAGTCAAAAGGAACTTGCTCAACTCTTTCTATAACTCTTCATTATTCTTATTTGGAACAAAGCAGACATAGTTTAGGATAGGCAAGCATTGAACAACTGAAAGACATCTATGTTCACAAAAATAAACAACCTATTTTTATACTATTAATTAAAGTATTTACTAGGGAAAAAAAAAACAAAACAATTAGATGGGGCAAAATGAACTACATTCTTCCAGGATCAACTTTGCTCCTCCTAAGTCATGTACCTGCATTAAAGTTATTTGTCTTATTTTTGGCATTGGCACATTTGCCTCAATATCCAGTACATATTTAGATTATCTTCCATCTTCTCTACTTTTTGTGGCAGACAAAAGATTTTTGCTTTGATTTAAATTTTCTATTTAAAAAGACACTAAATTATTTTTAAAGCAGCTTTGCAAGTATAGCAACTAAAAAAGACCACTAGATTTTAAATGGTTCCATTGAAATAGCCAAAGCAAAACGTATGGAGGAAAGCTATCCAGTGCTTCTGCTTCATCCTTAAAAGGAAAAGATAAGGAACTATTTTCCTTAAAACAGCAAAGTCAGTATTTAATTTCATTATGACGGTGGGGGGTAATAATACTTGATGCCAATATCACTCCTTTGGGATGTACAGCGACTCTGCAATACCATTTCTAGTTTTGCTATTTCGGGGGTGGAAGTTCATCTATCAACTTGTAAGACTCTCAGTGACATGGTTGGGATTCTGGAGGTCCAAACTGCCTCTGGGAAGCACATCGCTCTTTAGTCTGCGGCTCAAGTGAGTACGGCCGATTTGCGTCCCGTGAAGTGTGACTGATGGTCTTGGGTTCTTAACCCAGGCAAGGTGCACTTCGCCGTGAGCCCACTACAGTAACCTGTGAGGCCACGTGTTCAGCCTCCCTCCGGTCATCCCCTGGAGTAGTGGTCAGGGCAGTGATCAGTCCCACGCCCTTTATTGGGGCCGGCTCGGGGTTTCTGGGCACCCCCAGGGTGTCTTTTGGTGAGCGCCTTTCCAGCACAGCTGGGCGCAGGAGGGAACACGCGCTCCTGGTGACCGGCGACAGCCCGCGACTGTCCTGGGGCGCAGCCGGGCGGGGCGGCGGCGCGGGTCCGAGCGCCCGAGGCGCTGGCAGAGCATGTGACCACGCCGCGCGGGGCTGGGCGTGCAGTGCCGCGCGGTGGCGGCGGCAGGGAAAGCAATGGAGGCCGCGGGCGCCTGAGAGGCGGGTGCGCTGCCGGGCTGCTGCTGCGACTGCTGCTGCTGCTGCTGCTGCTGCGGAGGCTTCGCGGGCTGTGCCGCTGTGCCCTCCAAGACCGCGCGTCGCCTGCCAGCCGCTCTGCGAGCCGGGGCGCCAGTTGGGGACCGCAGGTGAGCAGCTACTCGGCTCGCGGCTGGAGCCAGACAATGGGGGCAGCGGGCGGGCTTCTCCCCTCCGCTCGCGCCCTCCGGGCCGTCCCCCGCGGAGCCCCGGGATTGCCGGCCTTGCCCGGGCAGGGGCTAGCACGGTTGGCCGAGGACTCGGGGCGGTGTCCCTGGCTGCGGGGCGCGGACCCTCCCCAAGGAACCTGCGCGCGATGCGCGCGCCTTTGGATCCCCGCGAGGGAACCTGCCGATGGGCTGCGCCCCGGGAACTTGGCGAGAGCGTGGGACCTTTCATTCTCTCCCCTTCCCGTGTCCCGGGGACCCCGCTGCGGCGCGGGCAGAGCCCGAGCTCGCCGTCCGGGAGCTGGGACGCGGACCCGGCTGAGCCCTCTTCCCCTAGAGCTGCATTGCTTTGTTTAACCTCTGCCAAACCGTTTCGCACAAACTCTTGTGGCCCCAGTTCTGATGAGCCACCAGTTTGATGGCTGAGGCGAGACAAAGGTTTCCCCTGTTTACCAAGCACTGGAGCCGGGGTCCGCACGCTGCCAGTGTGTAAAATGTGTTGCCTTATCTCCTCCCGGGGCTGGTTGCGACCGTTTTCCTGGTACTATAACCGTCCTTTCTTGCAGAGCTCTGTAGTGGAGAGACTGGACCTCCTAACCCTACGGACACGGTGGGTGGGGTAGGGCTTTTTCTTCTTCTTCTTCTTCATGATTATTAGTAAACAGAAGAGCAGTCGATTAAATTTTATAGTAGATCTTTGCATTATATCCATTTTTTTCTCAATTGTGGGTTTCAAGAGCAAATTTATATTTAAAGACACATTGATTCAGTGGAGGGGGAGGGGGAACCTAGTAACTATGACCATGTGTTGTGAAATTTTAATATGGTTTTATGAATAATGGCCAGGAAACTGATCTGGTGTAAGTGAGGGTGTGTGTGTGTGTGTGTGTGTGTGTGTGTATGTGTGTTGGGGGTGGCGGTGGTGGAGAGGGAGTGGTCAGAATACAAAGGATAAGGGAATTTTATTAGGTTATTAGTAAATAATCTTATGGCAGATTTTCAATTCATTAAATTGTCAGTTAAATCAGTGTTCCCCTGTAAAAATTATCTGTTGTAGTGGTTGCATTATATATAATATGGCTAACAGTTATTTGGCATTGTTTGTGACTCAGGAACACAACAGTCAATTTTGAGTAATTTTGAAAAAGTCAACAAAGAGAAGACACCTTCACTACTACTTCCTTTATTCTTTGAGAAAAGAATCCTAGTTTAGTATCTTAAAGACAATTGCCTGTAAAAAAATTTTCTCCAAGGCAATATTTTTTAAAGAAATCTTTTGGAAAATGTGCCATATATAGGTATGGGGTTACATTATGGATTATTTTAGCTCAGAAATGTGCAAGAAAAAAACATGCTATTAATTTTGTTTCTAGTATTGATTCTTTAAAATGTAATTGATTCGAAGGCTTATGTTTATTATAGTCATCTCTAAAAATTGAGAAACTTTGACTCTCAAGAATTTGCAGCACCCACAGAGTACTGAATTTGGAGTCCTGAATATAATACCTACTTGAAAGGTTTAGACAATTGGTCTAAGAATAAAAGGGATTGTACTATAATAATGTAAGTTGTTGTTATTGCTAGATGAGGAAGCTAGATATTACATCTTCTCTTACACAATATTGGAATAATTAGTTGAAATTAATATGGAATTCTTTGGGGCAAGGAATGGTCCTGTAATCCTTTTTTGTAGCCCATATTTCTAGTCTGGCACACAGTAGGTGTTCAATAATTAAGAAAGAATGAACTAATGAAAAATAAAGTGAAAATGGATAAAAGGTTCATATAGGTAGAACTGGTTTATTTCTTTTAGTTTAATGAGCATTTACTGAAGGCCTACTATGTGCTAGGAACTGTGCCGGGTGCTGCCATGTGTAGTTCATAAAAGCCTGGAAGCCTCTTTTTGGATCATAATTGCTATGTGTTTCTATGAGTTATAGGGTGGTTTTAATGATCATCTCCTAAAACTGAGTAGGACACTAGAACTTTATTTGTTTTTATACTTTCTTATAATGACCTGTGAGGAGGCAGGACAGATACTATCATTCCCATTTTGTAGGTGAGGAAATCCAGACACAGTGGGATTAAATGACTTGCCATCTCCATGCCACTAAAGCAACAATCACACCAGTGCTTTTACCTCTTAATCACACTTTTCTCCATGATATGCTGCTTCCCGGCATATCTTACTCCAATTAGACTGCCTGAAAAGGTCTACATTTTGCATAACTTTTTTGTTTGTTTATTTATTTATTTTTAAACTTTTGGTATGAGAGATTAAATTCAGGGAAACTTTACCGCTAGCCTTTATCCCTAGCCTTTTTCATTTTTGATTTTGAGACAGGGTCTCACCAAGTTGCCCAGGCTGGCCTTGAACTTGGGATCCTACTGCCTCAGCCTCCTCAGTCACTGGGATTATAGGGATGTGCCACTTTCCTGGCTTTGGGTAATTTTTATATAAATAAAAGTTGTATTTTACCACCTAGTACTTTCTGAAGTGGGTAAAATGAGCAAGGTCTGGAATTAGGTGGCAGAATTTGAACCCTGGGTTTACTGATTACTAATGCTTTATCCTTAGCAAGTAATTTCATCAAAGCCCAGTTTCTTCATCTGTGAAATGGGGGAGGTAATAGTATTTCCCTTATAGGATTTTTGTGTGTATAATGTGTGTATGTAATTAGCATAATGTCTAGCACAAACTGTGTACTGGATTTAATTTGGGGAAGGGGAACACAGTAAGAGAGGTGCCTATTAAATAGACACATTATAAATATGTGTAATTTTTTCAAAAAAAATTGTGATAATAATGGTTAGATTGCCTATGTGCAATGTGGTCTTATATTTTTACTCTATTTTATTTAAAAACTGCTAGTTGAGATTCACAGTTGGTCAAAGTTCTGTGCTCAGCAGTCTATCATACATATTCTCTAATGTAGTTCTCACAACAGCCCTGTTGGGAGGCCTTGTGTGTCCATTTGATAACAGAAACTAAGACTCAAGGAGCTTTTTCTTAACTTTACCCAAGGTCCTAGAGTTAGGTGAGGAATGGGGCAAGGATTTAAACTGAGTTCTGTTGGACCCCAAAGCTTGTCTGCCCTCTTAGCCCCGGTGCTCAGTTCTGATGTCCCCTCATGGGGATTCCTGAAGATACCTCATTCCTTCTTATGTTTAAATTGAGAATTTGCCCACTCTGGTCCTTTCTGTGGTTTTCTTTTGAAAGGACTCAAAGTCAGTTTTCAACTTGGTGAAGTAAGGAAGCTTACTGAGGGGACTGGTAATTCATTCTAGCTTTAGCTGGTCTTTGATGTAAATATTTTGGTGTAGCTTTTCAGGTTTTCATGATAGAGCCAATTAATTGGTCATTTTTATGTAGTACTCAAAGTTTTAATGTGTCTACAAAAGGGACATGAGATAGCTGTGTGACTATAAAAAGACTTCATTACAAATGAATGTCGGCTGTTAGGCACCAAACGAGACTTAAGAGCTACAAAGGATGCTTTATAGTATATTGATTGGTCTCAAAATCACAAGGCAGTATTTATAAAGTACTTGTAAGAAATCACCAAATATGTACGTATATTTGTGTTTCAGTTCTTTACATTTGTAATAGCATTTTAATTTTAATATTGTGGTATTTCTGGGGCTTTCCTCCTCTTAAAAATATTATCATAGGGGCTGGGATTGTGGCTTAGCAGTAGAGCGCTCGCCTAGCATGGGCGGGACCCGGGTTCGATCCTTAGCACCACATAAAAATAAAAGCATTGTGTCCATCTACACCTAAAAAAAATATTATCAGAATAATTAAAACAGTTTTTAAGGAATATGTATTTAAAATAGTACATAGAATATGCAGAGATAATTTAAAACAATAATGGAAAAGCAAATTTCACTGTTTACACTTACATCTTACAGATTCAAACTCCTGTGGTTTGCATTATTGCTGTCTACATGTTGAAATGTACCTTGTAAATAAAATGATAAGAGGTGCTTAAAGGTATAGAAACTTACTTCTGCATTATAGCTTTGGATGCTTCTTTGTATGGAGCTTAAAACTTTTTGTTTGTCTTTTGTGGTACTGGGTATGGAATGCAGGGCCTCCAGCATGTTTGGCAAGTGCTCTACCACTGAGCTACCCAGCCCTTTTTGTTTTAAGCCAGGGTCACCAAATTGCCCAGCCTGGCTTAGAACTCCTGATCCTTCTGCTTCAACCTCCTGTCTAGCTGGGATCACAGGCCGGAGCCACTGTGCCTGGCTAACTTTCTAATCATATATTTAAGCAGTTTATTTGCTGAATTAAGGTTAGTCTTTTCAAAGACGACAATTTTAAAATCAGAATTAATGTAAACACAATGATATATTAGATAAAGAAGCAGTTTCATGATTTATGTGGCAAATAATTTAATCAAAGCCTCAGTTTCCTTATAAAGCATCAAACTGAAAATCCACATATTTTTGTTTTTCAATCTCATTTTTTCCTTAAAGTGAATACATAATTGCATTTATTGTTAAACACGAGATTTCATCTTTAAGTTGGTCCTCAAAAGTCTTTTTGCCGCTATTGAAATTGTGAACTCTTGTAGTAAACTAATGTTTTATGCTTATTTTATTAACTTATTCCTTTTGTCTAACACCTGACCCTTAATGGATTGTTATAGTTTTTGTAAAAATGAAACATTCTAGCTGGGCACCCTGGTGCACACCTGTAATCCCACAGACTCAGGAGACCAAGGCAGGAGAATCGCAGGTTCAAAGCCAGCCACACCCATTTAGCAAGACCCTAAGCAACTTAGTGAGACCCTGTCTAATAAAAAATAAAAAGGGCTGGGGATGTAATTCACTAGTTGAGCACCCTGAGTTCAATCCCTGGTATCAAAGAAAGAAACAAACAAACATTATAGCTACTGAATAGTCACTGTCACTGTAATTTGTATGTTCAAGTAGGT